GCACGGGAACCCGGGGTGACTGCAGCCCACCACTCGGGAGGGCTCGGCAGAGGTGTGCGAGAGGGCGGAAGGAGGCTACTGCCTGTAACCGCTGCGCACATTTGCACAAATTTGGGGAGTAACACCCTGGTCCGTTTAGATGATGGCACAGTGGCGTGGAACTGGAGTGAATTTTGAGACGATGAGCGAAAACCCAAATGCTTTTCCAAGGCTGGAAGGTGTGGTAGGAGAGCAGAGAAAACTAGTGTGTTTAAGCCCAGAATTGTACAAATTTGCTTTGTATTAGTGCAAGGTTTCACGCACGCATCCGGTCCTGGCTCCCAAACCAAGCTGCAGTCTTCCAAACCTACATCTGGCGAGCACCGTGGTTTGTTCTGCTTTGTGGGCAGCAAGGGGAAAAAGAAAACCCACTGTGACTTGCTTCAGCCTCTCCTACCATCATCCTCAACAGCCTAAACTCCTCATGCAGATTCAGGGGCTGCACATTGAGTTGCTGTGCTGCTGGATCTGAAACATGGAGGTGGTTAAAACATGGAGAGTGAAAGTGCAAATCCAGTCTGTGCTTTCAGTACAGGGATCTCAATCAAGCTGTAAGGATGCTAAGCACCTGGAGCCATGCAGGCTCCCTTGCACAAGCTGTTAACACTGGGAGGTCTTTTGCTTGTAGGTATTTTAATCTCTATAGATGCAGGGAGTGCTCTAATTAATTGGATGATTGGTGTGTCTGTAGGGCTCTCTCACCATACAGGCACAGACTGGTAGGAGCAAACCTGCACATCGGACCATTACCTTAAAATACCCATAACATGCACAACAAACTGGACGAGTAAAAGCTTGATTTTGGTTGCTGCGAAATGACCATAACTCCCTTATGGGCTAGTCTCAGCTGAATTACCTTAACTAGGAGTCACTCCTCTTTACCTCTTGGATCAGGGAGGTTTGGGGGGCATAGCTGTCTCCTTATGACCTGCTAGTAAGGCCCTCCCTTCTATATTATGTGTCCCAGAGTGTTTTATCAGCCTTCTGGTGTACCCGAGAGCAGAAGCCCTTAGTGTACAACTGGCATTTGGAGGGGGGGGAAATCACAAGTTGTTCTGCAAGGTGGATGCCATTCCCAGCCTTGCCTTTGTCTTGGGTCATTACCACTAAGCTGGTGATAAGCTGCTATTAATTACAGATTGTCAGCACATGCAAATTGGAACAAGAGCACACCAAAAGCATCAGCTCAGTCCTGCTGAGGGAGCTGGCACTGAGAGCCTCGTGGGCTGGTGACAAGCTGTTCTTGGAGGATCTGCCCTCTGAAGTCATTCAAATTTGCGTGAGAATTAGAGGGTTGCCTCTTGCTGGGGGTTGGTCTAAGTAGCTCTTTACAATCAGATTGCTTATTCCAATGAAGCTTTGGCAGTTGTTCTCTTTATCACCTGAAAGTTTGGTGATGCACCCAATGACTCTGAAGGTGTCAGTTTAGTTATTTATTACACCATGTGGTGAGAGTGCAGGTGTGGATTGCCTCTTTCTCCTCTTCATCCCCCTCTACTCCCCCCATCAGACCCACAGCACTCTGTGCTGGTGCAGCACGCTTGGCCTCGTGCACTGTTCTGGCTGCGTTGGTGCCCCGGTCAAATTGGGGCTGAATCACTGCCAGGAATACATAGCTGGAGACCCGATCCAGCTGCTTGGCTTGGACTCTAAGCGGTGTAGAGAATCCACTCCAAGCAGGCCAGTCTCTAGTAAACCTGCTAATGGAAAGTCTTTTCATTTATTATTGTCTACATGGGAAAGTTTTACTTGTTCCAGCACTACGGTTCTGTAGGCGTTGGGAGAGCCTCTGCCGTGATGTTTTTGTGTAAAAATGGGGTTTTTTCAGTTTATCTCAAAAGAATTCTCAGTGGACTTTATGTAAACCAAAAAAAGATCGATGAACTGAGGTGCCCATAAAGACTGGTCAATTAAATTAAAAAAAAACAAACAAAAAAAATATTCCAGAGTGATATCTGGCTCAACCAGAACACTCCTCTTGCACGGACCCAACCTTGTTAGTCGTTCTCAGTGATTATTGGCAGATTCAGTGGCTGAGGCAGCAGCTGTATTTTCAGCAAGTGAATAACCCTCTTGCTGCTTGAGAGTTTCCTCCAGGTTAAAATGAGAGGATACTGAAGGGTTGATCTGAGGGGAAGGAGGCTGAGCAGTCCCTGCCTATGGTGTTGCTGTTTCTTTTGGGCAAGGCGTGGAGTTTCCAGGGCTCTTAAATGGTCAGACATAAGTATAATAAAAATAATAACCCTTGAGGAGGAGCAGACCTACAAATTCATGAAGAGCTTGCTCTTTGCAAGAATATTGCTGCAGACGACAGGAGGAATATTAGCCCCTTCTCTGGTGTGTGTCAGAAAATCAGATTTGGATTTGATCTTGGTTACATAGAAACTGCCAGCTCTGGACAGTCACTTGACTGGAGCTGTTACTGTGAAATGAAAACAAAAAGGGGATGTGACCATGTGTTGTGACAGTTCCCCCTCTACCAGAACCGGGTGGTGGCCTTGCACTTGACTACACCATTTGTTTGTCCCAGTTAATTCTGTGTACCACTTCAGACCACACCATGTCCTACTGTCTGGAGCTCGTTTGCTTGCTCCTTGCTGTGCATTGCATTTGTTAAATGAGATCTGTCTTGGTTAATTTGGTTCTCATGTCTCTCTCACAGGTAGCCGAGAGACTGCTTTCACCTATGCTGTCAGTGCTGCCGGCGTGGTGAACGCGATCAGCCGGGCTTGCCGTGAAGGAGAGCTCTCCAGCTGTGGCTGCAGCCGGACCGCCCGGCCCAAGGACTTACCCCGAGACTGGCTGTGGGGTGGCTGCGGAGATAATGTGGAGTATGGATATCGTTTTGCCAAGGAGTTTGTGGATGCCAAGGAGAGGGAGAAGAATTATGTGAGAGGTTCAGAGGAGCAGGCTCGCATGCTGATGAACTTGCAGAACAACGAGGCCGGTCGCAGGGTAAGACAAACGCTGACCCTTTCCTCCTCATCACAGGCAGATTCAGCAGGCTTGAGATAGCTAGATTATCAAACTACTTGGAGATTTGATGAGGGATAGTCTGATGATGTCCCAGTAACGGTGTATGGTCACATTTTCTATGGTTTTGGGAGTATTACAGATAATATTGACAATATGATATTCCAGTTTTAATGGCAGGCTTCTGCTGCCAGTTAAAGCCAGTGAGTTTTCGGGTCTATCGAGATACTGTGTGGCACGTGTGTGCAGGCACGTAAGCCCTTTCCAAATAAACTGGGTGCTGTCATGGCCCACTTTCAAGGTTTGCGTCTCAGAAACTGGCTTCCCAGACCTGCCAAAGTGCCAGGCTGGTGGTGAAAAGAAGAATCTGTTGGCATGTGGAGTTCTCTTCTACTGCTGTCATTCAGATTTTTGGTAGCACAAGGCCAGGAGCAAACACCGAACCGGGCTACCTCGCTATCTCTGAAACCTATGCCTTGCTAAGTTACCTTGGTATTGGGCAAAATAACTGATTTGCATCTAGGTGACAGACATTTTCTGAGAAGATACACAGTTTTGATCTGGAGACCCCTGGGGATGGAGAATCCATCACTTCCCTTTGTAGTGTGCTACCAGCATTAATCACCCTATTTCAACACTGTGCCTCATTATCATTTGAATTTATCTGGCATCAGCTTCCAATCAGTTCTTTTTCTGACTTTTACAGCTAGATGGAAAAGCCCCTTGGTAGTCAGAATTTCCTCTGCATAGACGTATTTATCTACAGTAATTTATTCACCAATCTTTCTTGACAAACTAGATTGAACACTGAAGACTCTCTCACTTTCAGATATTCTCATCAGCCATCAAATCATTTTCACATCATTTTAGTGTACCCTTTCCAGTTTTCCCATATCCTTTAAGAAACTGGATACCCAGATGACATGCTGGGTTCTAGTACTGGTCTCACTGATGCTGTAAATGTTGGTGAAGTTGCCCCCTTTGTATGCGTTCGCTGTATGCACATTTGCTTTTTACACAATTCTTCTGTCTGAGATTAATAACCTGGAAGGTGTAGCATCATTCATATGCGGTACAACTGTGTAATCCCTATCTCTTTCCAAATGTAGAACAGGAATACTTACTTGAATGTTTCTGCCTTTTCCACAGGATGTTTAAAATTTTTTATCATTCTTTCCTAGTAGTGAGCCTTTCTAAGGTTAATTTTATTTGTAATGCATATGAAAAAATCCTATTAAGTGTACTTAGCCTTGCTCTTTTGCACATTCTTAACTAATATCCTTAGTTTCCTTATCAATTTTCTGCCCTTTTTTCCTTCTAATTGTTACTGAATTATCTTTCCCTTTCCCGTGTAGTGTATGTCTTTCTTTTCTGCATGTAATTTTGGCTTCAGTTTGCCACCAAAGAAGATTTGCTCTGGGTTTTTTGATTGTGAAATCAATGTGTCAGGTTGAAGCATTGCAAATACTCTGTGTTTCTTTTGCAAAATCAGATTGGAGCAAATTTGTAGTAGGTGCAAAACTGTGGACTTGAAAGCTGTAGAATTCAGTGGGTTTTGGTTTGGGGTTGGTTTTGGTTTTGGGCTTGGAAGGGCAGAGGATCTGCATTTGCTTGGAAATGGGGGGCATTCCTTCATGGAGTAGTAGCCTGAAAGTGACATTCTTCTCTGCGTTACTAGCTTTGAACATCTTGTATGTCTGGAGTCATGAACATGAATTACCACAAATAAATACCCTGCCTAAAACAGGGAGTGAATATGTTATGAGCCTTTTTAACAGCCAGTCCTATTGCCTTGTGGGATCCAGAGACAGAATATGGCCAATAGTTTGAGGCGCCAGCCGAACTGTAGTAACACCTGTGTCAGAAGATCAAGTCATAAGATACTTACTCCACAGCATGGATAAAGTTATTGTCTTGTTATTCTTGTTATGGGCAAGAATCTCACTAAGCTGTGATTTCAGATGATGATATGGTTTTAGAGGGAAGAAAGCTTTGTCCTGCTTTAAGGACAGAGCTAAAACAAGTTACGTCCCGCCTTTACTACAGTGCAGGAAGTTGTTTAAATTGTTCTTGGAATGCTGCAGTGCCCGTGCTGCTTTGGACTCCATAGACAAGCTCTCAAGGTGATTTCTGTGTCTCCAGTTAACACAGGACCTGGACAAAAGCTTTCCAAAGGGGCCAGCAAAAGACAATGTTATTTTGAACTTGGGTTTTGTAGAGTCTGTAGGGCAGATGGCCATAGAAAATAAGCTTAGTTTAAAGGAACACAAGTCATTTTAGATTAAATTAAATGGAAGTATAAACCAGTGTGTAATTAAGCTTGTGGATTTCAAAGAACAAACTGATAAACTAAGGGAGCCAGTTAGTAAACTCAGCTGAGGAACTTGATGTGGAGGAGGTCTGGAACTTTTTCAAGTCAAAGATGCTAAAGCCATTACAATTCTGCATGCCAAGCAAGAGGAAAAAGCTTGTAGGAAGAATATCCAGACCTCACTGAATGAATAACTACCACAGAGAAGCTGTTAGGAATAGACCGAGAGCCTACTAAGAATGGAAAAAAAGAATTGATAGCAAATAAATAACGAAAAGCTCTGTCTTAGAAGTCAAGAAGTGTAAAGATGAAGTGAGAACACTAAAAAATCATGCTGAGTCAGACCTTGCAAAGGGTAGTAAAATAAACAATGAAAGTTTTTTAAACTTTGTAAATTGGAGGAGGTTGGACAAAAGGAAGTCGCTAGTCAATGGGGATGGGGCTGAGTCTAAAGATGGAGTAGTTTTCATCCCCAAAGTAAATAAGTGTTTTACTTGGGTCTTCAAGTCAGAATGGGGGACGTTGCTGGTAGAGAGGGGTACCATATGTCTGCTGCACAATGGAGATGTCCTTCTCTGTCCTCGTCACTTCTGCCTAGGGGAGTAAGTGCGCATAGTGTAGATTAAGTCCCCCTGGGACTCTGCAGGATGCCCTAGGGGCAGGCAAGGTCTCTCACAGTAGGCAGTGGCCGATGGTGCTGGCACCCTGTGGGAGCGAGGAGGCAGCTGTCGTGTTCAAACAGGTAGAGGTTACTGAAGTTTGGGGCCAGCAGACCTGGGATGGGTGGGATGGTGCAGGGGGCTGCTGATGGAGGGGAGTTTGGGATTGGGTCAGATGATTCAGATGGGAGTCAAGTGGCAGCAAAGGGTTGGAAAGAACAGAGAGCTCTGGAGTAACTGAGACTGGGGCTTTGAGATGGATTGAGTGGATGAGGATTTGGTGGTAGTGAGGAATGAAGATGTAGGGATTGGGAAAGGAGATGAATATGAAAGGATCTGGAGATGAGACCTGGGATAGCTCTGAGATGGCATTGCCCCCATTCCAGCGTTGTCTGGTCAGGATGGGATTTGACTAGTACAGGGCAGCCTTTCCTCTTGGCTCTTAGAAATATATTAGCATGGGAGCAAAGGAGAAAGGCTGGAAATGGAAATTATCACTACCAAGGTGGCAGCAAAACTCAACGTAAAGCTCTCAAGGGAGTCCCCACTTCCTTTCCTGGCACTCTGAAAGAGCTGGCACCTGGCAGCACAGACAGCGTGACCTTGGGAGCATTTACAGGAGGACCTGGGGGAAAGAATATCTTAGAGGAAGAGGCAAAATGGGAAATAATTTGAGAAGAATTTCTCGAAGATTGATCACTGTCATTTAGAACATCATCATTTTCCTAAAAATCAAAATAGATCTGATAGGTGTCATTTATCTGGACTTCTGTGGGACATTTAATGTATGTCCCACATGGGAAATGCTTGGTTAAATTGGGAAAGGAAAAATGCAGCAGCTATGAGATGAGCAAGAAACTGGTTCAAGGAAAGACGTCAGTAAGTTGTGCGAAAGGATGTATCTTGATCTTAATAGAGCTTAATTAGCAGAGTTCTTCAAGGACTTGCCTTAAGACCAATGCTTAGTATTTTTGGTTTTTTAGCCTCAACACAAGAATTAGGAATGGGCTCATGAAATTTGCTGATGATGCAAAGGCGGCGAGTATTATGAATTCAGAGGAGAATCCAAATTTTGTATAGTGGCTAATGGCATCCAATAAAACAACATTAGGACCATCATTTGAGGTCTTGTATGAAAAATGTTTTTAGTCATTAGGAAACGAGTAGAAAAGAATTGGTTGCAGCAGTCAGCTGCAGATAACTGCAGATATAATGTGGCTCAGAAGGTGGTAAATATCCTATAATGTACTAGGGAAAGTCTTTTCATAAAACATGAGGGAATACTAATGCCATTGTATTAAGCTCTCATGAGGCCCCAAAATATTGTATGTTCTCATATTCCCAAGCAAAATTACCTCAGACTAAAAAAGGCTTGTTATGGCTGACCCAAGGGATAGGAATCTTTTCTTAAGAAAGTGGGCTAGAATAGCTTGCCATGGTTAGTCTAGCAAAGTGAAAGTTGAGAGAGGATATGACTGATGTCTGTGTTAGTGGGAGAAATAATAGGGAAGGAAAAGTACTTTTTAAGCAAAAGGCCAATTTGGCACAATGGCAAATGGGCATAAAGTGAATATATTTAAGCTGGAAATTGGAAAAAGATATTTTATCATTGGAATAGCGATCAGAATAATGGTGGCTGAAAACCTAATTGCTTTTAAAAGGGCACTCTATACATTTAAGGAAAATATTATTTGAAGCGGTGCCTACAATAGCAAGAGATCATACTTAGTATCCAAGGAGGTCCTGTCTAGTCCTGCATTCTTAAACTTCTGAGATTCTGGTTTTGGAAGTAGGAAGGTACATGCGTAACTCCATACTCCGGAAAGTTGGTGCTGAAAGAAAGGAGTACTGGAGACACAGGAATGAGCACTGCTGAGTGACCACCAGGTGCCATCCCACGTACAGCCTCACACCACTTTCCCAGCCAGTTGATGTCTTCTGATTTCTAGGTAGACATTTGGCATGTTCCCTCACTCAGTTTCCTCTGGGTGAGAAAGTTCTCCTTGAACCCTGAGGAGCTCTGGTGGCAGGAGAGAAGATTGTCCTTGCTCTCTGCAGTTCTCAGAAGGAACTGAGAGGGATGGGAGCGGACCAGAGGTCTTTTGTCTTTCAGGCAGTTCTGACCCCATCACCCCTTTGCTCCACGTCGGAGTCCTTGTGATGGTGGCTCCTGGCTTTATTGCTCTTGTTTGTTTGTCTTTGGCTGTTATCTCAATATGTCCTCTCCTTCCATCTGTCTTTTTCTTCCAATTGGTCTCCATTATCCTCTCTTATTTCCCCCCATTCCTTATCTGTCGCCCTGTCTGGCGGACTGTGGTAGTCAGTCCTTCCGCGCTGTTTACCCAGTCGGCATATGGCAGGGCTCAGTCATCAGTCACTTGAGGCAGTGCCAGAAGAGCCTGGAAGGGGGTCTGGCTAATTGACCACATAGGAATTCCCCATTAATTCTCTTCCCGTTCCCATTCTTGCAAGTTTTTTAGAACTTGGGCTTATAGGAAGGGGCTTTTTAAGCCTTTCCATTAGAGGCGTTTTCAACCTGTTTAAGTGGCATGGCCATCGATCAGCCCCTGCCCTCAGAACTGCATGTGGGGTCTGTTATTCTTTACCTTGACCCGAGCCTGGTCAGAGAGGAATTCTCCAATTTCCTCTCCTTTCTCCCCATCCGGGCAGCAAAGGGGGAGAGTGGGAGAGCCATTTAGCAGCTGAAGCTGTGGTTACCTCCGCGGGACGTTGATAGTGGGAGCTGCGGGGGGCTGAGTGGCGCCATGCTTACCTGTGATAACTGGTAGCGTTCGCATTCCCCAGCACAGCTACTACCCACATGGGCCAGATGTTTTGAGCATCAGTTGCTTCAAGCCAAGTCAGAGTGAACTCAGTCCCATGACATTAACTGAGAGGGATCGAGTTGCAGTGTTTTTCTAAAGGAACAAAGCCCAGGATTAGGAAGAATCATAATACTTTATAAAAACACATGCAAGGGCAAAGGAGGCACGAGTGGCCTGGGATTTGACAGAACCATAACCAAAAAGTGCTAACACAAGCTCATAACGAGCAGGCTGGCAATGCAGTGAGGATATAGTGAGTGTCTGGGGCTCGGGAAATTCAGCTGTAGCTCTGTCTGGTTTTTTTAGGAATCCTTAAGTAACGGTGTGGTTGGTCCTCCGCAGCCGTAGTTCGATCCAAGACAAGTGCTTAACTCCCAGCCTGTAGCTGTTACATTGCGCCGTGAGGGATTGCCTCAGTAAATCGAGCTCCGAGGAGCTGAACTAAAGCTTCTCTGTTTTAAGTACTCCATTGACTTTCTTGGGAGCTGGATCGGCCTCCATGTGATTTAGCCATTAAGCCAAATTGAATCTTCGCTAGCTGTCAAAAGCACTAGAAGTTAGTTAGACCAGGAGTAACCAGTTATGAAGGAGAGCTGGATCGGCCTCCATGTGATTTAGCCATTAAGCCAAATTGAATCTTCGCTAGCTGTCAAAAGCACTAGTAGTTAGACCAGGAGTAACCAGTTATTGAAGGAGAACTCTGACCTCTTGCTGCTGGTCCAGAACATAGTTGTAGGCAGAAGGTTTTGCTTGCAGTATGCTCAGTTGCCTTAATCATCTTCTCCTCGGCAAGCAAAGCCGGGGAGCTTTCTTCTGTGTCGGTGAGGCAGGCAGAAAAGAAACCTCAGTGTTTGGCTGCTTTCTTCAGCAGCAAACCTGGCCAGAAGACATATGGCCATCTCCTTCAGGACATCCTAGTTTTTTCTCATGTCCCTTGATATCTCCCCCAGCAGATACAGCTGGTTGTAATTCTGCAGGTGATGCCAAACAGCTCAGCTCGAGACGTGGGATCTGGCAGAGGCAGTGCCCTGCGAACGTGCAGGCTGCAGGATGGCCACGGGAGAACAGGTGTGAGCCTGATGGTGAGAGCGAGAGGAGCACAGGCCGGGCGGACAAGCTGCTGTAACACAGCGTAGCTCCGATGGCATGAGGATGCCAGCTCGTCGCTTGGCAAACTTTGTCAGAGCCTGAGTGCTGACGGGATCTCACGTAACATGCAGCTTTGTACCTGTCCCTGAAATTAGGGAAAGAACAAACCCAGCCTGCATTTTTGGTTTATTTTGAGTGTTGTTATTCTAGAATATTTTTCAGTATTTCTCTCTCCCAACTAGAGTGGGGAGGAGGAGAAAAGAGTTATCCTTTACATCATGTACCTGCTCTGGTCAGGGTTTAACGATCACTGGCCTAAATTTTGAAGACTATTTGTTCATTTTTATGCCGGATTTTTAGGGTTATGATGCATCTACAGCCCCTGCAGACTCCTGAAAACATAGCTGAAAGTGTCTCGGAAAAGAGAACACGGAAAGTTTGCATTTGCCGTTTAAAATGTTATGCCCTTCTGCCTGGCGAGAGTCCTGTTAGCGCAGGGACATGTCTGGACACAAGATGGCGCAGGTTTGCAGTGGGGCCTTGCGGCTCAGCGCCTGCTTAACACCTCCAGCAGCAGCTCCAGTGTGGAGGTGTTCGTCTTTCCCACCACCCCCCCTCCTTGCTCCTCTCTGTAAAGCGATGCCTCCTCTGAGCACTGCCCCTGAACGAGCTCTTCTCAGCAGAGATGGAGGGAAAGGGTGTGGGTCCATGGATTTATGTCAAAAGGATGCAGGTGTATCCCTCGAACGATAGCATCGTTTCCCAGTGCGGGTGGTAGGAAATGGGCAGGGTCCCAGGTGTCCCCTTTGTTCCCTTTTCGCAGGTCTGGAGGGAAAAGCATGCAATGCCGTGGTGGTCCATGAGACTGGGGGAATTTCCAGAGTCTGCACGGAGAGGACTCTTCCCTTTTTCCTCCTCTTGACCCTGCTGTCGAGTCAGAAATCTGCCAGGGGAAAAGAAGGTGGGGTGGGGAAGTCATGTTTGGAGGCAATGTGACCAGAAATAGAAATATTTAGGGAACAAGAGCACAGCAGTCGCAACAGGAGGAAGAGGAGACTTTTGTCTCTTCTGAAGGGCAAAACAACAGATAGTGGGCGATAATCAAAGCAGTTATGAAAACATGATGAATTCATTGTAATTAGGCCAGCT